TGATCCTGCAATTCACGCAATCTTCAAGAGCTGTGTTTGATGGGTCGACGGTTTCAGGTTTGTAACTCAATCTATCTTTGACCCTTTCTTCCCTCTTTAGTTTCAGTTTAGTTTTCTGACATGTTTCTTGTCCAATGCGTCTTCCTGGTGTCCTGAACACATGTTCATGGCTCTGTAGACGTTGAGAAGAGGTGAATCAAGATGAAGAACCGTTAGTGACCGTTGCATTGTCCCTCTTCTTTACATTCTTACGATGAGGACATTAGTGGTACACTCCTTTCATTAAGTTAAAGGTGTGCCGCTGATCCCCATTTTCGTGCCATCATTGAGAAATCAGGATCGACAAGCACTATGTGGCAAGTATGATGTGTAGACATCTGTTTTTTTTTCATACAGAGTGGTAGAAAGAAAAAAGGCAAATGACTCTGACCGAGGCTATGATCTGCGACCTCTCATTTGTGAGTGTGACTCTTTGTCGACTGAGTGTCCCTGGGCAATGCATAGTAAATTCGTTGCTTAAGAAAATTCGTGGTTGCTTCACTGTCAGAATCGAACCCAACACCTCTGAGTTTTAAGCCAATCTCTAAGGTACTGTGCCACCACGCCAATGATCATGAGGGAGTGTCACGATTGCAGCACTCTGATGATTGCCGTTCCCCTGTTCATTTAAAGTCTTTATTGACTTAGCGTTTCAGACTTAATTTAATTATCTGATTAAATCTGTGAGATACAGTTTAAATATGATCCCCATGCGTCACTTTAGGCAATGGACATGTAGTTCAAAGTTTCTTTTCAACGGTACGTTTTACACAACAACAAATCACACAAAATATTTGCCATAGTTGGCTGAAGCGTACGATCATCTTCTCATTAAAGGGTTTCCAACCTGACGAATAGTTTCACTGCTTTGTCGATATCTGGACAATTCGTTCAGATCCCTTTTCTAGAAGATTCATGTTTTCACAAAAATGCATAAAATATAGAATCAGCAGGGTTTTCATATGAGAACACAAACGAACCAAGTTAATTGCCTATTGGAGAGAGTCGTCAATTCATCCAATGTACTGTCAAGCAGCAATTTTGCTCTTTGAATGGCATGAATGATCGATAGACACTTAGCGTCTAAACATCAAATCGTATATTCCAGCGGATCGATGTCCTGCTTATTGTCCATTCAACTTTCCCTTTGCGGTCGAACACGGCATTTTTCACGTGATAACTATTTACTGGGACAATTGCACAGAACAGTTTATTACCTGCCTGCTTTATACCATCACCCACTGCGGAGAACAACATTATTCCATTAAAGTCTACGGCCAACATTACATTAAAGAAGGCCCGTGAAAAATGTAATAACATTTGGCATTGGTCTACCATCTGACATGCTGTTCAATAATAAACTGAATTTGTGCCGTTTACTTCAGTATTATTACCAAAACGCGAATAAAACACTACAACATCCAGTTGCACGCATTTCATCTACTTGAGCTAAGACCAAGAAACGGTATTGAGGGACCTCATTGCGATAAACCTCATCATTCAGGAGATTTGGCGAACAGAGACCATACGGAAGAAAAGGCGCCAAGCAGTGATTACTACGATATACAAAGAAGCGCTGTACCGGATGTTCCAAATTACAGAGGAATCAAACTCCTTTGCGAGGCACTGACGGTTACAGAAAAAATTTTCATCAGTGGAATTCGACCTCGGAGAGAATACCACCGGAGAAGAACAGTTTGACTGTCGTCCAGCCGATCGACCATCGGTCACATTCTAATATTGAGCCTTTCGCTGGCAGTCTATAACCAAAGCCACAATCCCTGTTCATTCGGTTCGTCTACTTTGGGGAAGCTTTCAATGCTTCAGACCGCGAAACCCTGCACGGTTTGTTAAGAGTGGCGGTGTGCCAAAAAGTTGGTTATATCTTGAAAAACATATATTCGAGGACAACGGCTGTGATACGAACTCGTTCAGCGACCTCACACTGTTTTCCAATTGATAGTGGAGTACGGCATCGGACCCATGTTATTCAACTATTGCAGTGATGCCATGATGACAGAGGCAAGTACAAACTTTGATAGAGAAGTGATACCTCAGCCATCAGAACGCCGGATACAAGATATGGATTATGCTGACGACGTTGCTGCCATTGCAGTGAATCCGAAAGAACTTCAGAGGCATTGGCAGTAGTGGAGACAGCCAACCCCAAGTACAGGTTGGGACTGGAACAATCGAAATGCAAAGTCCTTCTTTCACGGTATGCCCCAGAAAATGGCAACATGGTGAAAATTGACGTCACCAAGTTCTGCCATCTTGGATCGATCACTGCTAGTGACGGAAGTCGTGAAACTGACGTTCAGGAAAGAATCACCAACGCTCGAATTGCACATAACATGCTGCAGCTAAATCTGTGAAAAACTGCTGTCAGTACTTCAGTGAAAAACCGCGAATATCTGACCATTATCTATTCGACCAGTGCTGATGTATGCCACAGCTACGTGGACCCTAACCAGGAAGGAAGCGAGTATGTTGGACATACTTTAACACTTGTGATTCTGAGAAACTCGGCTATGGATATATTCATAAGATCATGAATGTACAGTTGTTGGAGGAC